GTTCAATGTGCCAAGTTTGTCTTGAACAAACTAACACATTAAGTTCCTTGTGCCAAGTTTGTCTTGAACAAACTAACACATTAAGTTCCTTGTGCCAAGTTTGTCTTGCACAAACTAACACATTAAGTTCCTTGTGCCAAGTTTGTCTTGAACAAACTAACACATTAAGTTCCTTGTGCCAAGTTTGTCTTGCACAAACTAACACATTAAGTTCAATGTGCCAAGTTTGTCTTGAACAAACTAACACATTAAGTTCAATGTGCCAAGTTTGTCTTGAACAAACTAACACATTAAGTTCAATGTGCCAAGTTTGTCTTGAACAAACTAACACATTAGGTTCAATGTGCCAAGTTTGTCTTGAACAAACTAACACATTAAGTTCAATGTGCCAAGTTTGTCTTGAACAAACTAACACATTAAGTTTAATGTGCCAAGTTTGTCTTGAACAAACTAACACATTAAGTTCCTTGTGCCAAGTTTGTCTTGAACAAACTAACACATTAAGTTCAATGTGCCAAGTTTGTCTTGCACAAACTAACACATTAAGTTTCCTTGTGCCAAGTTTGTCTTGAACAAACTAACACATTAAGTTCAATGTGCCAAGTTTGTCTTGAACAAACTAACACATTAAGTTCCTTGTGCCAAGTTTGTCTTGAACAAACTAACACATTAAGTTCAATGTGCCAAGTTTGCCTTGCACAAACTAACACATTAAGTTCAATGTGCCAAGTTTGTCTTGAACAAACTTAAACATTAAGTTCAATGTGCCAAGTTTGTCTTGCACAAACTAACACATTAAGTTTCCTTGTGCCAAGTTTGTCTTGAACAAACTAACACATTAAGTTCAATGTGCCAAGTTTGTCTTGAACAAACTAACACATTAAGTTCCTTGTGCCAAGTTTGTCTTGAACAAACTAACACATTAAGTTTAATGTGCCAAGTTTGTCTTTCACAAACTAACACATTAAGTTCAATGTGCCAAGTTTGTCTTGAACAAACTTACACATTAAGTTCAATGTGCCAAGTTTGTCTTGCACAAACTAACACATTAAGTTCAATGTGCCAAGTTTGTCTTGAACAAACTAACACATTAAGTTCCTTGTGCCAAGTTTGTCTTGAACAAAGTAACACATTAAGTTCCTTGTGCCAAGTTTGTCTTGCACAAACTAACACATTAAGTTCAATGTGCCAAGTTTGTCTTGCACAAACTAACACATTAAGTTCCTTGTGCCAAGTTTGTCTTGCACAAACTAACACATTAAGTTCAATGTGCCAAGTTTGTCTTGAACAAACTAACACATTAAGTTCAATGTGCCAAGTTTGTCTTGAACAAACTAACACATTAAGTTCAATGTGCCAAGTTTGTCTTGAACAAACTAACACATTAGGTTCAATGTGCCAAGTTTGTCTTGAACAAACTAACACATTAAGTTCCTTGTGCCAAGTTTGTCTTGAACAAACTAACACATTAAGTTCAATGTGCCAAGTTTGCCTTGCACAAACTAACACATTAAGTTCCTTGTGCCAAGTTTGTCTTGAACAAACTAACACATTAAGTTCAATGTGCCATGTTTGTCTTGCACAAACTAACACATTAAGTTTCCTTGTGCCAAGTTTGTCTTGAACAAACTAACACATTAAGTTCAATGTGCCAAGTTTGTCTTGAACAAACTAACACATTAAGTTCCTTGTGCCAAGTTTGTCTTGAACAAACTAACACATTAAGTTTAATGTGCCAAGTTTGTCTTGAACAAACTAACACATTAAGTTCAATGTGCCAAGTTTGTCTTGAACAAACTTAAACATTAAGTTCAATGTGCCAAGTTTGTCTTGCACAAACTAACACATTAAGTTCAATGTGCCAAGTTTGTCTTGAACAAACTAACACATTAAGTTCCTTGTGCCAAGTTTGTCTTGAACAAACTAACACATTAAGTTCCTTGTGCCAAGTTTGTCTTGAACAAACTAACACATTAAGTTCAATGTGCCAAGTTTGTCTTGAACATACTAACACATTAAGTACAAACTAACACATTAAGTTCCTTGTGCCAAGTTTGTCTTGCACAAACTAACACATTAAGTTCCTTGTGCCAAGTTTGTCTTGAACAAACTAACACATTAGGTTTCTTGTGCCAAGTTTGTCTTGAACAAACTAACACACCAGGTTTCTTGTGCCAAGTTTGTCTTGAACAAACTAGCACATTAAGTTTAATGTGCCAAGTTTGTCTTGAACAAACTAACACATTAAGGTTTTTTGTGCCAAGTTTGTCTTGACACCAATAAACACATGAACAGTATGACGTCATTGCGATGTATGGCTTAGCAGTAAAGTACTTAAGGGGTGACCCCATCATGGCTTGTTCTGAAGTAGCTGTGCTATACATTCATGTATGCGAGTACTATACATGGTATTTATGTGAGAAATAATAAAGAATGATATGAAATAATGAGTTTTAGATAGATAGATAGATATCTGATTAATTTTGGCGTTTGTAGCTTGCCTAAGTGAAAATGTTACATTTTGTGTCATTTTACACACTAACTGATTTGACACGTTGACTGTAATATAAATACGGCACTAGCTATAACGACCTAGTAATATCCAAACACGGTCAAAGGATACTTACATTAATACAGAAGAATGGTACCAGAAAAAGACAACTAAAGCCCTCTACTGAGCAGTTTCAATATCAGGGACATTATGGCAGAGTCTTGTTGGAATTCCGAGCAGGAATATAAACTGAAAGTATACAGTTGAAAATTGGATTTGACGAAACAATTACAAACATTAACAAAACTAGGCTGAATACATTTGCCGAAACACTGCAAAGACTGCAAACATCTATGACACTTGTATCAAATGCATTACTCTTTCGAACGATTTCTTGTTTGTTTCATTTTTAGCCACAATCAAACATAGGTGTATACTTTCTTTTGCCCTTCAGTTTAGGTCCCAAGCAGCCTTTTCTGTAGGTGAGAGGCGATTAAATGGATCGGTGGTCAGGCTTGGTGACCTGGTTAATTATATAATTACAATATCATCGTATCCCAATTGCGTGTCAGGATGTCCTAACTCGATTGTGTACAGACCGCCGTCAAAAACCTGGAATATTGTCGCATTAACCAACCAACAAACAAACATTAAGGCAGAGTCAATGTCAGATAAAGAAAGGTCTCCTTTCAAAACCGTAGATCGTACATTCTTCGTAAATAATTCAAGTCCACATTTATATTTCTAACTAACAGTTGGAATTTTCCAAGTGCAGGTACAAGGTAATAAATTGTCGGTACAATGTGGCACTGGAAGGCAAAGGGAAGCATCAATGATTAAGAATGATTCAGTGATGGATCTCCGAATCACTGCACGTATATGTGTGTAACCTCATCATGATGGACATCTCAAGGCTGGTGGCCGGTCAGCTGAGGACGCCCACAAGACGACGATGACCCGGCCCTGAACTGTATGTCACGTACAGTGCGGGGACGCCGGGGAACACGTTCACGGTGACATCAACACCACGCACACGTACGTATAACCCCTGTCTCCAGGCCAAGGCGAAACGCCGAGCTTTTTATAAGGCAAATCATTTTCTCTTTGACTTTTCTGATAGGCTTATGGTTTTCAGGAAAGAAGCAAACACCCTGTTCATCGGACAAGTAGATATTTGTGTCGTTAACTAAACGTTACGACGTTTTAAATCGTTTATGAGCTAAACATTTAAACTCTCATAGCTAAACGCCCTCCGAAAACGATTTCTTTTGTTTACGATAATATTTGTCTTTCTTATATGAATATTTACGATATCATACATGTACAATTCTAAACAAAAATTTACAAAGCACACTGATGGTTTATGATTATTTACTGTATTTGTAAATAAACGGAAGTGAAGCATATTCTACTTTGATCAAACCAAATAACACCTCTACATGTACGGGTTTCCTGATCCAGACACGATTATTTACAGGCCATCGCGTCAAACAAAGAACAAACAAATAAACAAACAAAATCCCTGTTAGGGGCGGCTGGGTAGCCTAGTTCTTAAAGCCTTGACATGGCATGGGTATCAGATGTGCAGTCAATTTCTTATATCCCACTCAGTGATTTGCTTGAACATTTTAAATAACTGCGTAAACCCATAACGACTCACTATCGCTACATGTCTGCTTGTTTGATTGTTTGTTGTTTAACGCCGCGCTCAGCAATATTCCAGCTATATGACGGCGGTCTGTAAGTAATCCAGTCTGGACCGGACATTCCAGTGATTGACATCATGAGCATCGATCCATGCAATTGGAATTCGACCCAAGTCAGCTAGCTTGACCACCCGATCCCGTTAGGCGCCTCTTACGACAAGCATAGTCGCCTTTTACGGCAAGCATGGGTTGCTGAAAACCTATTTTTGAACATATACTCAGAGTTGAGTTGGGGGTGTTGGGGGGTGCATTCAATCAGTCTTTTAAATAGTAATTTCCAGTAATGGAGTACAACCTATTTGGGCCCAAACACAAACGCCCACGTCAAACAACTTACTCACATGAACCAAGTCAGGCATCAATGCCAATACCAATACAATTCCAGACATGAAAAATACATAGCTGGTATACTGCTGACTGGCGTAACAAGCAAAGATACAAATATAATCTCAATTAAGAGCGGTCGTATAGCCTAGTGAATAACGCGTTTACGTGGCTTTGGTATAGTCAGTTTTCTGTGTCCCCTACAATTATATCAATTGATTATTGCTAAAAACTGCGTACAACCAAATTCACTACCTATTAGCTATTCAGTTTGCTAAGGATCAATTGGTGTACTTTATCAACAATTGAAATAGTGGAATAGACCTATTTTAGTGCACCATCTAGGATTTCGTTTGAACAATATAATCTCAGTCACTCACTAACTGACAAGCCCGTCATTCAACCCTGAACACAGTGAGGATAAACAATGTCACGCGCACAGGTCAACCACTGTGACATTGGCGTGGCAAATGACCTCGGAGACGATGAACTTACCACGATCTCTTTTAACCCGACCCGAACTTACTTTTTATGTCCAAGGTGACATACCCAAGGAACATACCCTTTATGTGAGTGTTAAAAAAGCCATAAACGTCATTTAAACGTCGCGTGCCTTTGGAATTGTTTTCAACGGTTTGTTATTTTTGCATCGTGGTGTTTGGTATAAAAGCATGCCACTATGCCTTGCCAAGTATTCTCGTCCTAAACACCTCAGCTGTTCCGTTCTCCAACTTCCGACACCATGGTCGTCATTGTAGCTGCCTGTGTCATCTTCGCCATCACTGGTTCTGCCTCTGCTGCAAGTAAGTGTTTCAAGCACCAGGTGTTGTAAACCGTTAAAGACTCATCATGTAGCTAAGTTACTGTCATACAATCGTATACTCTGCAATTTGTTTAATGTTAATTTCAATCACTGGATTTCCTGGTCCAGACGCGGCGTTAGAAAGATACTGTCATACAATGAATACATTACTTTTTAAATATGGAATAGAACTTGAAGATTTGTTGTAACTTATATGGATATAATATTTTAATTTTAGAAACTCCTGCTTCTGTTTTTTGCTATATGTATATAAGTTACTGTCATACAATGATATACTTTGCAACTTGTTTAGTTTGAACTCCAATTTGTGGGAACTTAATTATGCTTCTGTATTTTGCAATATAATGGAACTTTTGTACAATGAGTAACTACATGGACAAACACCATTAGGGGTCAAATTTGAAAAACGTCAACACAATTACAGCAGATTCTTTTATTTACCTAACATTTATACTTCGTTGTTCCGTGGGGATCCCAACAGAGATTCCCAGAAACCTGTCGACTTGTTTGACAGTTTGTCATCCTATTCAAATAGCGTGGATCGATCCTCATGATGTCAATCACTGGATTGTCTGGTCCAGACGCGGCATTAAATAGTGGCTATATATATAACTGTACATGTGAATTACAACTGTGTTTCTTTATCTCGATATTTGAAAGAACCGAGTCCTTGTCGACAAAACAGGAAATATACACCAGGTTATGTTGGTGTCAACAGTATTAGAAATGATCAGTAAGTACATCCGTGTCACTGCATGACGTTGCCATCCTCAGCTCCCACCAACTGCACCATCTCTGGATGTGGGTTTGGAGGCAAATGTATCGACAATGCTGCTGGGACGGCGTCCACCTGCGTCTGCTACCAAGGATTCGAACTCAGCTTCCAGACATTCGAATGCATAGGTGAGTAACAATGATCCTAATATTAAGAAAGACCCAACTAACCAAACTTATTCGCTTGTATATTGTAAGAGGCGACTCCGGTGGTCATACTAGGTGACCTGACTTGGTGGGTGTCATTTTACCCAAACTTCTGACAACAAGTGTTCCGCATTACCTAAACTCCAATTTTTATTAACGGTCGTGAATTACCTGGAATATTTGGGGCGTAAATATAAAACGTAAGCGAAAGAGAATTATCAGAGCAGACCATTTTCCCCATTCTCGCGAACACCTGGTGTCATCACTGATTTGCAGCAATCCATTCGTTTAATATTCACAACTTTGTCTTTAGTCTGTTACGGCAGATACTCGATATTGAATATTCTCTTGCGTGGAAGCAGTAGTACCAGTGTGTTAGTGCATGTTTCTCTTCCAGACATCAACGAGTGTAACTACACCAGCGCCGCCCTGTGCCCTAACGGCTTCTGTCACAACATGTACGGCGACTACAAGTGCAACTGCTCCCGGGGCTTCGTGCCGCACTACCCCGACGGAAAGACTTGTGTGCGACGTAAGTGACTGGCGGTAAACATAGTTAATCCCGACTCAAGGAAATTCGAAATCCAGAAATTCTACCGGGGTTCCACTGTAAGGATATATTGGTGGGGTGGGGTAGTGGCTGACAGAAAATACTAAGCGACCTGATCTCTTTTCCTCAGATGATTCTAACGGGCAAAGAAGAAAGAGAGTGCTTTATTTGGGGCAGGAGTCGAACATACACATTTAATTTCAGAGCAGGTGTCAGATAAATACTTTCATATTTGAACATAGAACAATAGAACATCAAACTGTGCCGCATCACGCCGGAAAACCAGGTTTGATTCCCCACATGGGTGCTACTTCGGTCTTCAGCCCAAACTGAGTCCATTGCCGCGATAGTTTTGGAATATTGCTTAATGTTGCGCCAAACTCAACATATCAACATCTCAAAACACATAGCTTGCAAATCGATGACATATGATTCGTATGCTCACTATAAACGCCCTACTGTTTCAGCTATATTCCCTATCATCAACAACAACAACAACAACAATAACAACAACAACAACATCTTTGGCAACATGCCAATCTGGCTCTTGTCTTTGCTGTTTGGAGAGATGTAAGAAGAACAACATCTTAACAGTGTTCTAGTGTGTCCAAGTAGACAGCGAAGGATCGCAACACGTCTGGCAATAGATCAATAAAAACAAATGTACTGCAATGAATAAATATGAATGGCAGATTTAACGTTGTCTTTGTTTACTTTAAGTCGTTGAATGGAATTTAGAAGAGATGCACTTGGGAACAGAATTTCTGGATGTCAACTCCTTTATTATGAGGAACTCAACGTTTCGGAATACATATTTACTTCTTCATAATGTGAAATGGATGGAACCTGATGAAGGAGTAAGTATATACTCCGAAGCGTTGTGTTCCTCATAAAAAAAAAGGTTAACAACCATAAATTGTCTTTCCCCTTTGTTTACTGTTGTTAATCCGATCTCTGGGTACATTCAGGGCATTTGTTTATTTGTTAACGCCGCACACACCAACATTCCAGCTTAAAAACGGCAGTGTAAAAATAATCATGGCTGGACTTGACAAACCAGTGACTGATAATTTGACAGCGTCCCACTCTGGGGTACAATGCCCCGCAATCAACCGAGCCAGACCACAGGATCTATTAAGTCTCCACGTACGTCTGGCGCCAGACCACAGGATCTATTAAGTCTCCACGTACGTCTGGCACCAGACCACAGGATCTATTAAGTCGCCACGTACGTCTGGCACCAGACCACAGGATCTATTAAGTCTCCACGTACGTCTGGCGCCAGACCACAGGATCTATTAAGTCGCCACGTACGTCTGGCGCCAGACCACAGGATCTATTAAGTCTCCACGTACGTCTGGCGCCAGACCACAGGATCTATTAAGTCTCCACGTACGTCTGGCGCCAGACCACAGGATCTATTAAGTCTCCACGTACGTCTGGCGCCAGACCACAGGACTTATTAAGTCTCCACGTACGTCTGGCGAAGGTTGCTCGGGATCTATTCAAACCTGTGGAAGAAAAACCCGGAGTGATGCTTGTCTCAGACGTTTACCGCTTTTGTGAAACTCATAAGGACGGGTATGGTGTTCACAGACCTAAATGTTGGATTCGAACCCACGATTTCTGCACGGAGAACAGCGACACTTAAAGCGAGTAAATGAGAAATACATGTAGGCTTCAATCAATTTACCCACGTGGAGAATCGAAACCGGCCCTTCAGCATAACGATTCCCGGGTGGCTTTAACAAGGGGGGAACCGTGTATGGTTAAAAAAAACAAAAACGCACAGGTAGTATGTAGTTCATTGAACCTTACTACAAAACAAAATCCAGTATATAAATTGGATATATGTTTCGGAAAATGTTGGTGGCCTGATATTCGGCAAAGGTGCGTCAAAACGCAGCCATTGTCGAATCGCAATGTCTTAAACGGCATTGTTTTCATACTTGTACAAAAATGTCATGGAGGAAAACAGTCAAGGAAAATGCATGCGCAAGTTATGGCATTTGTAACTCTCGGTAGTTGCAATAAAAAGGCAAGCATAAGCCAATAATTTGTCATTCATTTGTCAACATTTTTCAAGTTTGAAAATGCCGAAACTCAGCGCTTCCCATCGGAACATCGCCATGGGACGTATCCAAAGAGGGGAATCGCAGTCTTCTGTTGCACGCCACTTCAACGTCCACCACAGCACCATTTGCCGCCTTTGGGACCAATACACACAGTTCAATTCCATTGCAGACCGTCCGAGAACCGGCCGACCAAGAGTTGCCACCCCTGCACAGGATCGTTACATTCGACTGTTCCACCTGCGTCATCACAAAGCCACAGCTACGGAGACTGCAGGACGCATCTATGGTTTGAGGATATCAGACCAGACTGTCAGGAACTATCTTCGCGAGGTTGGAATCCGACCCAGAAGACCAGCTATCGTCCCTCTTTGGCACAGATCCATCGACAGCGACGCTTGCGTTGGTGCCATACCTTATAGCCTTGGAATTTGAGAAAGGGGACACGGGCGTGGTTTAGCGATGAATCCCGATATCGTCTTCACCGGCGAGATGGAAGACAACGTGTGTATCGTCGTTGAAATGAGCGTTTTGCCCCACATCGGTACGTGAATTCGACAATTTCGGTGGCGGTAGTGTCATGGGGGGTGGGGGGTGGAGGGATATACAGATCTCAACCCAATCGAACACCTCTGTGATGAACTCGATCGACGTGTACATCAACGTCGGAAAACGCCGCAGACACTCCCACAACTGGCCAACGCGTTACAAGCAGAATGGCGCAGAATTCCGCAGGACAGAGGTCGTACATTTATCCAGTCAGTGCCGAGGAGATGCAGAGCCGAGATTGCTGCCAGGGGCGGTCACACGAGATTCAGAGTTCAGCGCAACCTTGTGGCCTTATGTGACATGACAATGAAGAGTTTTCAATGCCTTTGTTCAACGACAACATGTGACTATCGAGCCCCAAATTTCATATTTGTATCTATGATATTAAATGAAATATATCGACTTTATTAGGTACAATAAATTTACTAAAAATCTCCCTGTGCGTTTCTTTTTTTGAAGAGTGTATAAGTGTATTCTTTCTTTTGCCTGGAATTTTAGATGTATTGCGTCTCTCAGTGTTCTTATAATCAATAAAGCTGTGGTTTCATGTACAAGTCTGTCGCAGCCGCGAAATTACATCATCTTAAACGATATATCGAGCTAAAAGAAGTTCGAGTTAACTAGGTTTCTTACACAACTGTCGGTGAGAAACCCATTTGAGATAACTGGTATCAAACATATGTGTGAGATCGAATTCCAGGCCCGTGATTGGCTACTCCATGGTGATGACCTTAGGTCAGATGATGACGGACTACTTCTCTGATTGTAAGTCATTGATAAGTTGCTCGTGATTCAGTCGAATGTTCACCTACGCCTTGTTGAACCACAGGTCCGTGTAATAATTGATAATAATAATAAACAAACTCGTCCTCGTCTACGTGTTTGTTTGTTATTATTACCAGTTACATTATCTGCTGCGTTATCATTTTTTAGAGTGTAAACACCCTGGATGCCACAGCGACACATATGTCCCTCCTATTCAACCCTCACTTCGAAGTCGAATAAAATTCAAAATACATCACGCAAACTAATACACTTCGCAGTTTTGAATTCACTCTTCTGTTTATCATTTGCTGTCATTTTAGGCAAAGAATAATTAGTGAATGTGACTTCTGAAAATTAGGTACATTGTAAATCTCGCCAAATCACAATACACGGCGTCATTTGCTGTGTGTTTAGAAATCTAAATATTGGATATTTGCTCGAATAATTAAAGTAGAAAAATAGCATACATTAGTGATTAGTGATCACGGGTATCATATCACTAATGATAATACAGAAACGTCGCTGATAAGCCTAGAATCGTTTAGAATGTTTTGGAAAATACGCATTCACGAACGCCGAAGTGTACGTTCCGTTTTATTGGATTGTGTTTACAAAATGCCGGTTATGAGACGCCTATTCGATCAGGTATATTTCAAACTCAGATGCTATACATGCATCCCTGAATTCCTCATATATATTAGAAACAAATGACAAATTTGTCACCAATGCAAATTATCCAGATGAAATCATGCGAAATAAATTAGGTGTGGAAACTAACACTGTGAGTAGTATATAGTGAGGGCGCAGAAGGTAGTTTTGGTTGAGGGAGGTTGAGTGAAAATAGGGAAGGTGATTGGTTGATCCAAGTCACGTGATCGAATAGGATGACTCATGCATCAACAGCGCGTTACAGGTGAGGGGAGGGAATGAAAGGTGTGTGTGTTTATAAGACAGAAAAGAATTCGTAAGTAAACAAAAAAAAGTAAAGGGTATTCAATAGGGCTAAATGTATAGCGTGCTGCCTTGAATAGACAGATGTAGTACGACGAAGACTATATACTAATATGCAAAAACTGAGAAAAAATAAACAGTTCATTCGTATCATTTATTGATTCGAGTCAATCGGTTCCATACAAAGCCGTGATATACGAATGGACAATAGTATTCACTCTGGAACATTATTTAGTCACTCATATACACATGCTGCTGCTGCTCGAAGGCCCTATTGTTTAAACAGCGAGTCCATGTTTTGAAACACATTTCGCACTGTTGAATGTTTTAAGGTTGAATGGTTGTCTATAGTCTATGCTTTATCCATTGCTTGTAACGATTTCCGTCCAGGAGGTCCCAGTTTCACAATTCCTCTCTCTAATCGCACACCGTATTGTAATCACCATGAGGGTTGCCACCTGTCCGGACTGTGAAAAAATGTTTCCAAGGAGAGATGTCATGTTACGACACAGGAGAAATAAACATAGCATACCGCCGCCGTTACAAGCCCGACCGCCGCCGCAAGTCCACCGACCATTACAAGCCCACCCGCTACCGCCGCCGCAAATCCACCCGCTATTACAAGCCCACCCGCTAACGCCGCCGCCGCCGCTGCGTCAAGCCCATCCGCCGTTACAACTCCATCCACCGCCGCCGCTGCGTCAAGCCATCCCGCCGTTACAAGCCCACCCGCCGCCGCAAGTCCAGTGCGAAATGTGTTTCAAAACATGGACTCGCTGTTTAAACAATAGGGCCTTCGAGCAGCAGCAGCATGTGTATATGAGTGACTAAATAATGTTCCAGAGTGAATACTATTGTCCATTCGTATATCACGGCTTTGTATGGAACCGATTGACTCGAATCAATAAATGATACGAATGAACTGTTTATTTTTTCTCAGTTTTTGCATATTAGTATATAGTCTTCGTCGTACTACACCCGTGAAGGTCCCGGTTTATAGAATCGACCTTCAGTAACCCATGCTTATCGGCGACTGACGGCGGGGATCGGTTGGTCAGTCTCGCCGACTCGGATGACACGTGCCATCGGTTCCTAGTTGCACAGATCGCTGCTCATGCTGTTGATCACTGGATTGTCTGGTCCAAGCTCGTTTATTGACAGACCACCGTCCTAGAGCTGGAATAATGCCGAGTGTGGCGTAAAACTAAATTCACTCACTCACTGATACCAATACATCTAAAAAGTAATGTCATCATCATTTAAATGGTGCGTTTAAACGCGTATTTTACCCTTACAAGGACGAGTGCATTCCACACACCCTTCCTCTTATCAATGTGTCACTGTTTAC